AAGGATATGAATGGGCAGTTTTCAAAGGAAGGCATCCAAGCTATCAATAACCATATGAAAAAGTGCTCTAAATCATTAATGATCAGAGAATTGCAAATTAAAGCAGTTTTAAGGTTCCCCCTCATATCCACTAGACTGACAAAGATGGCAAAAGATGACAAATGTTGGAGGAGCTACAGGAAAATAGGCCCATTTAGAGAACTGTTGATGGAGCTGTGAAGTGGTCCAGCCTTTCTGGAAAGTAATTAAAAACTATTTTTATTTATTTCATTAAATATTTCCCAATTACATTTTAAAAAACTTTTAACATTAATTTTTAGAAATTTTAAATTTTCTCCCTTCCTAACCTCCATTTCCCTCCCTTGAAAAGGCAAGCAGTATGATATCGATTATACACATGAAGTCATGCAAAACATATCTGGAAAGCAATATGGAACTATGCCCCCAAAGTTAATTAATTTTGAATTCCATTTGACCCAGATATACCCTACTAGACCCATACCTCAAAGAGATTAAAAAAAGAGGAAAAGGATACACACATACACACACACACACATATTTCTATAAATATGCATCTATATAACTACAAATATTTATAGCAATTCTTTTCATAGTAGTCCAAAAATCAGAATTTCCCCCCCACAATTGGAAATTAAGGGGCTTTCCTACTATTGGGGGAAGAGCTAAAAAATCATGGTATATGAATGCAATGGAATATTATTGTGCTATGAAAATGGCAAAATGGACAGTTTCAGAGGAAAGCAGGGAAGACCTCTATGAATGAATGCAGAGTGAGGTGAGCAGAACTAGAAAAATTTACACATTAACAACAATATTATGGAGAAAATTAACTTTGCAAGGCTTTAGAACTCTGATTAATGCAAGGTGAAACCACAAGTCCAGGAGAATGAAGCTGAAACACATCACCATTTTCACCTCTTGCCAGAAACGGTGTTGAGCTTAAAATGAAGAAAGAAGCATACATTTTTGGACCTGACTAATATGGAAATTTATTTTTCTGGACTATCCTTGCTTGTAATGAGGGTTTTCTTTTCTTTTTAAGTTTGCCCACTGGTGTTGAGGGGGATTTGGAGGGATTGATTATGCTTGTGACAATAAACAAACAAATAAATAAACGAATGAATAAATGAATGAATGAACAAACATAAATAAATAAATAAGTAAATAAATGAATGAATGAATGAATGAATAAATAAATAAATGAATGAATAAATAAATAAATTTATTATTAGAAGAAAAAAAAGAGTACCCAGCATGTTTGGGGTAAGGACAGAGGATACTGGGAGAGTCAACCAGGGGGTCAGGAGCTAGAGTGAGACAAGGGATTAGGTTCGATGTGGCCCGATTGTAGATAGCCTTGGAATGTCAGGCAAAGGAACGAGAGCTTCATTCAGGAGGGAAGAAGGAATAGCTGAAGACTTTTTTTGGAAATTTTCAAAGAAAGATTTCAAAGGAGAAAGAAGTGATATAAGCACATAAATTGGTGAAATGATTCTAGCAGGTGTTTGAAGGCTGGATTGATGGGGAAAGAGTTGAGGTGGGAAGATCTGTCGCTGTAGTGGTCTAGGCAGGCAGTTCGTGGAGGCCTGAGTCAGAGTGATACCAAAGAAAAATAAATGATTGAGCCAAGCGATCGAGGGACCAGGAAGACAGGATCACGGCCCCCATTTTGAGGGAGCATGGGGTGGTGGAAAGAAGACAGGATTCGGATCAAAAGGCTGGGTTTGAATCCCAGCTCTCTTAATTACTATTTGTGTAATCTTGGGGGAATTGCTCCATCTCTCTGGGCCCCACTTTCTTTATCTGCAAAATGAAGAGGTTGGCATGTCAAATTCAATATGGACTTAAAGAAAAAAGCCAAGCTATTTGTCTCATACACAATCTGTTTTTCTTCTCTTCTTCATAAGAGGAAATATTTACGTTTGTTAATTTGTCAAATTCATCTTTATCATACTGTTAATAATAATTTAACAACTAATAATAATAGTAGTGATCTCTAAGGCCTCTTGCAGTTCTAAATCCTATGATCCTAAAAAAAAAGTTCTTCTGTCTTTCCTTTCTACTATGTATCCTGAAATCTTCCTTCTTTGTATAGTGGAAAGATCACTAGATTTTGAGTGAGAAGATCTGAGTTCAAATTCTGACTGCCATTGGATCCTGGGCCAGTCCCTTCCCCTCCTTGAGCCTCAGTTTCCCCATCTGTAAAAACGAAGGGGTTGGACTAGGTGGCCTCTTCCAGCTCTATTATCTATGAGCCTATGACCTTGGGGTTCTCTTTGCCTCTTTCCTTTTCTTTGCTTCTCATATCCAATCAGTTACTATATCCCTTACCTATTTGGCAGGCACTGTGGTATCTGCTAGAGATGCAAAGACAGGCATCTGCCTTCCAGGAGCTGACCTTCCCTATCTTTTGAAGCTATACAACCATTCATTGGGAGTATTGCAGAGGGGATCCTTGGTCCAGGGACAGTTTCTAGCTCTAAGAGTCTATACCTCTATGATATTTCGAGTTTCTTATTTGTGACTAATGAGATCTGGTAGGTTTTTCAAATGAAAAACAATAAATTTGCCAATCTTTTAGATTACCTTCAACTTTTAGATTTAGGCATTAAAAAACAAAACAAACAACTTGTTAGAGAAAGAAGACCTGGGTTCATACATCCAATTTCTGACACTGCTGAATGACCCTCTGTACTTCAGGTAACTTCTCTGAGCTTCAAGTCCCTTGCTAGGACTCTGACCCAGTTTATGTATAAAGAAATCTTCTAGACTTTTTTTTTTAACTTGAGTGATCTGTGATGTCATGATGATAAACTTTCACCTACTAATCCTGTGCCACTTTTGCCCATATTTGATGATGTCTGCAGTAAGCCATGTTTTACTGTTCAGTCAGTCATGTCCAACTCTTTGTGACCCCGTTTGGGGTCTCCTTGGCAAAGATACTGGCATGGTTTGCCATTTCCTTCTCCAGCTCATTTTCCAGATGAGGAAACCGAGGCAAACAGGCTGAAGTAACTTGCCCAGGGTCACACAGTTAGTAAGTGTCTGAGGGCAGATTTGAAATCAGAAAGATGAGTCTTTCTGACTCCAGGCCCAGTGCTTTATCCACTACATTGCCATGTAGCTGCCCAGGCCACGTTAATGAAATGAATGTTATTATGTAATGTGAATTGGTGTTTTTGATTCTTCATAGTCCCTTGCCCATTAACTTTAGACTGGTTGGGGGGAGGGGGAGAGGATTATCTCCTCACCAATGCAGTTTCCCTTCATGTCCTGGGAGCTGCTGAGTTGGATCCAAATTGTCAGCCCACAGCTGGCCATCATCCTAACCTGTCCTAAATAATTCTATCTACTTAACAATGGGTTTCCACTATATCATCATGATTACAATGTCCAAATCTGAAATCAGGAGGATAGTTTAAAAAGGAAATTTTTTTTCTGATTTCTAGATTTATTTCTATGAAAAATATGAAAAAGTAGAAATAAAATTAGACTTAGTTGTTCACCTAATGATTTAATGACTGGCTTTTTATTGAATCAGATGAGGAGAGAGACAATGGAGTACAGGGGAAAAGTGTCACTGACTATAGAGGCAGAGAACTTAGCTTCAAATCTGATCTAAGAAAGATGCTTACTGCTGTGGCCTTGGATAAGTCATTTCCCCACACCAGGATCCATTTTTCATGTTTGTACAATGACAGAGAATTGGACAAGGTAGTCAACTGTACATCAGTCAATAAGCATTTATTAAGAGCCTAGTATATATCAGGCCCTGTCTATGGGCTGGGGAGACAAAAAGAGGCAGAAGGCAAGCATAGCTCTCAAGGAACTCACAGTCTAGTGGGTGGGGGGACAAAAAGCAAACCAGTGTTTACAGAGAGGATATTGACAGGATAAATTGGAACCAAGTGTGGCCAGACAAGCTCTCTCCAGGATCAATTTGAAACAATTAAGAGAGAGAAGGCACTGGAAGAGGGGCTGGGAAAGGCTTCTTGGAGAAGATGGGCTATCGGTTGAGACTTGAAGTCCAGAGAGGTCAGTAGGCAGAGATGAGGAAGGGAAGTGGTCCAGGCATGGAGGACAGCCAGAGAAAATGCCTGAAGTTGACAGACGGAGAACAGCCAGGAGGCCAGTATCACTGGATCAAAGAGTAAGTGGAAGGGAATAAGATGTAAGAAAACTGGAAATGTAGGAGGGAGCCTGTGTCATGAAGGTTTTTGCCAAACAGTGTTTCCTATTTGATCCCGTAGGCAATAGGGAGCCACTGGAGTTTATTGAGGAGGGGAGTGACATGGTCAGACCGGTGCTTTAGCACAAACAGGGAAGTTTGGAAGAGGGGTGGATTTTGGGGAAAATATAATGATCCTATTTTGGACAAGTTGAGTTCACAATAGTTTCCTTCCTTCTACTCCCCAGACCTGTACTCTAGTTTTCATCCCCATTTATGGGAATAAGATGGCTTTGGCAGCCTCAGACACTTAACACTAGCTGTGTGACCCTGGGCAAGTCACTTAACCCGGATCACCTCACCAAAAATAAATTTTGTTTAATTAAAAAAAAAAATGGCTTTGGGATCAAAGGACCTGGGTTCAAATTCAGCCTGTGACACTTTTCACCTGTGTGACCTTGTGAAAATCTATTCCCCTGCCTGGGCTTGTTTCTTCAAATGGAACAAGAGAGGGTTGGACTAGATGGTTGAGGTCCCTTCCATCTCTAGAGCTCAGACCCTATGTGAGATTTTGGGCAAATCAGTTGCCCTCAATGGGTCTCTTTTGCTCTTCTGTACTATCAGAGGGTTGGACTAGAGGAGCTCCCAACTCTATTCCTAGGAACTCAGGATCTCTGGCCTCCTTTGTGACCGATCCCTCCCTGGCTATATGGGCACTGGGCACAGAGAGACAGACGCAGGGAGCGGGAGGGGGTGGGGGGGCTCTAGGCCGCAGGCTTGAAGTGATGCGCAGGGCGGGGCAGCCCACGTGTTTGGCGCGACAGCGCCGTAAAAGGCTCCTGCCAGCTCCAGAGAAGGGCGCATTGGCACCTCCCTCCCGAGCGGGAAGGTCACGTACTGTCCCTGTGGCAGCCTTCTCCAGGTGCGTCGTGCGGCCGGCTGCTCCCGGCGACTCTCTTCATTGCGGGGACCATGTTCAGAAAGTAAGTCTGGGCTCCGGAGAGGTGGGAGGTGGGAGGCGGGAAGCCCTGGAGCCCGGCGCCTCCCCCTGCCCGGGTCTCCGCCCCTTCGCCCCGCCCAGCCCTTACGGCCACCCCACCGGTCATCCCCTCTCCTCCCTAGTCCCTCTTCCGAGTCTTTTTCCTATTTCCCAGCTCCAGGGCGTGGGCAGGCTTTTCCCTAGACCCATTAGACACCCAGATCTTGTGTTGTGATTAATTTGGGGCCCCTCTCAGGCAGCTGCAGAATTTCTTCTGCTAGGATCTGAGCCCCACAGCTGCAAGAGACCTTTAAGGTCATCGAGTCCAACCCTCTTATTTTCCAGAGGAGGAAACTGAGGCCCCAGGGAGGGAGGGAGGAAGTGACGTATCCAAGTTCATCTAGAGGGTTTTTGATCTGGAGCTGGAAGGGACCTTGAATTCTAAGACAAAGCTCTCATTTTACCGATGGGGAAAATGAGGCAAAGAGAGATGTAGTGAGAAATTTAAGAATTATTGATTCAGAAATGTTACTATGCAGTACCCTTTCTCATTATAAAATCCTGTATTCAAATTCGTTCCTGAACAAATCCTTTTTGTCTAGTACTGTGCTTAGCAATTTGTGGCACAGATTAATTTTTACAATGTAGTCATGGAGCCACGACTCAGGTGCATATAGCACCTTAAAAAACTCAGGTTTTAAAAATGGTTTGTTTTGTGTAAGAAAGATAGTGAGAATGGGCTCTTCCTGGTCCTAGTGAGAATAGTTCTTTTGAATAACCTTGATAGGTCATTGTCATGAGCAGCATATAGCTTATAGAAAATTGGGATTTGAAACCATATTGGGGGGAGGAGAGTTGGAATCGGTTACTCCTAGATAGAAAAAGTCCCCCCCAACCAGGAAGCATTTATTAAGCACCTACTGCATGCTAGTTGCTGGGGATGCAAGAACAGATGAGACATTCCCTGTCAAAGGACTTAAAATGTCTGACCAGTTGTCATAGTGTATTGCTTTCTAACTGCTTTAAAGACACCTCATTTGATCCTCCCAGCAGCCTAGGGAGGTAAGATGTACCAATATTAGCTCTGTTTGACATAGAATGATGAAAATAAGGTTTATTTAAGTTAATTGACTTGCCCCAGGTCACACACAGCCAGTAAATAGTAACTGCCTAGAAGGTTTTCTTTCTGCCTTCAAGTCACTCTTGTCATTTATATTTTTAACCCTAAATGTGCTGCTTCCTCTTCTGTCTCTATCCCTCACCATGCTGCTGCACAGCAGACTGCTGTAGATGTGACAATTGAACTGGGTTTGTATATAGCAGAAACTAAAATGAGGTAGCATCTTTTAAAGAGAAAAAAGGAAATTTTGTTTTAGCTGTCCAAATAGATGTGTTGAAAAAAGGCCATAACTAAAATAATACCTTTAACCTCTTCTATGATGTCTTTTTGCCTAGAAGGGCTCATTTTTCAAGTAATACACTGTGGTGCTGAAATGTTTTTTCTGCAAAAATCACTTGGCAGATTTGATGAAAAGGAGAGCATATCCAACTGTATCCAGCTGAAAACCTCAGTTATTAAGGGCATTAAGAACCAACTGATAGATCACTTTCCAGGGATTGAGCCATGGCTCAATCAAATTATGCCAAAGAAAGACCCAGTCAAAATTGTCCGATGGTAAGTCATTTCTTTTCAGTGCGTGGATTTCAATGAGGCTCAGTAATTATTATCCTCACATCCAGTGGATTTAATTTCATGGTAGGCCATTAGAGATTGGTTTTTGGGGGGAGAGGGGCGGTGAAAAAACACATAAAACTTTAGAAATGTTTGTGATAAATTATTAAGATGGACATATAGAGAAAAACTCCTTCAGGTTGTATGTGTGTTTCAGGAGTTCAGCATTTTTATTTTGGCTTTTTCATGTACTTCAGTATCAATGAGCATTTAACACAACACTGGGGATATAAAATGAGATGATTATATATTGTTTTAGACTACTGAGATTATTTAATAAGTAAGAGTAAAAACGATTTAGAAGCAGGATGGTACAGTGAAACATTGTAGGATTTGGAGGCAGAAGACTTGGCTTCAGATCCTAGCTCTTCTGTTTATTCCCTGTGTGACCCTCGGTAAGTCCTTTCCCCTCCCTGGGCCTCAGTTCATCCTCTGTAAAATGAGGAAATTGGACTCAATGGCCTCTGAAGACCCTGCCAGCCCTAGACCCATGAACCTATAATCCTATGATCATTAACTTTGGGACAAAAATTGGTTGCAGCTAGTTCCTTTCCCATTCCATCAAGATGGATACTGTAGGAAAAATGTAAGTGTTCTTATTTTAAATATTTGGAAAGTTTGGTTCACGTCTGAATGTTAAACTTTTTTTAACCGTGTCATAAAATGCAACACATTTTCTTGATACCTTTGTCTTTAGGTAACACATTGAACTCACTTGTATTTTTAAAAATCAAATTCATAATTTTTTAGCATTCTTATTTTTTTTAAATTTAGAGTTCCAAATTTTCTCCCTCCCTCCAGTCCCTCCCCCACCCATTGAGACATAAAGCAATATGATATTAATTACACATATGAAATCATGCAAAACATATTTCCATATCAGCCGTGTTGCAAAAAAAACCAAGAAAAATAAAGAAAATGAAAAATTATACTTCAATCTGTACTCAGAGTTCATCAGTTATTTCTCTGGAGAGGGATATCATTTTTTCATCAGGAGTCCTTTGAAATTGCCTTGAATCATTGTATTGATCAGAGTAGCCAAATCTTTCACAGTTGATCATTGTTACACTATTATTGTTTGTATGTACAATGATCTGGTTCTGCTCACTTCACTCTCCATCAATTCATATAGGTCTTCCCAGGTTTTTCTGAAACCATCCCCTGGTCATTTCTTATAGCACAGTAGTATTCCATCACACCCATATGCCACAACTTGCTCAGCCATTCCCCAATTGATGGGCATCCCCTCCATGTCCAATTCTTTGCCACCACAGAAAGAGCTGCTATAAATATTTTTGTACATAATCCGTCCTTTTCCCTTTTCTTTGATCTCTTTGGGATACAGACCTAGTAGCAATATTGCTGGGTCAAAGGATATGCATGGTTTTATAGCCCTTTGGGCATAGCTCCACATTGTTCTCCAGAATGGTTGGGCTAGTTCACAGCTCAACCAGCAGTGCATTAGTGTTCCTGTTTTTCCATGTCCCCCCTACCCCAACATTTGTCATTTTCCTTTTCTGTCATATTAGCCAATCTGATAGGTGTGAAGTGGTACGTCAGAGTTGCTTTAATTTGCATTTCTCTAATTCTTAGTGATTTAGAGTATTTTTTCATATGACTACTGACAGCTTTGATTTCTTCTAAAAACTGCCTGTTCATATCCTCTGACCATTTATCAATTGGGGAATGGCTTGAACTCTCTTGTCACAAAGAAAAGCAATTAAGCAAAACCACCCAGGGCATTGACCTCATCTGCCAGTGACACTGACATTCTGCCCTAGGAATCCCTTGCCCCTGCCTTGAGGAGGGAGGGATGTTTAATTATCTGCTCTCTGGGACCATCCTTCATTTTTTAATTACTCAGAGATACCCATGTTTTTTTGGCCTTATAAGCTATGTGGAAGGTGCTTTGACCTATATTGATTATTTATTGAATTTATTTATATTTTAAATTTATTTTTAAAACAACAATATCTAATTTGACACTTTGCCATTTATCCCGCAGCCATGAACATATTGACATTCTCACTGTAAATGGAGAATTACTGTTTTTCAGGCAAAGAGAAGGAAATTTTTATCCAACACTCAGATTACTTCATAAATGTAAGTTTTACGAAAAACAAGTTGTAGAAGATAGAATTTAAAAACATTTTCTCATAATAAAGTTATTATTTACTAGTGTAAGCTACTATGGAAAGTTAAGCTAAAATCAGCCCACCCTTTAGAAACCTGAATAGTGCCGCCTTGGTAGCAATTCTTCTCTGTGGTGTATGTCAGCAAGTATAGAGCCCAGGAAGAAGATATTTATGTTGCCCAATAGCAATTGCTGCTCATAGAACTGAATTGACTCCACTGGAGTGGCCCATTAACTACCAGAATGCTATAGGCCAGGTATTGTGGAAAGTACACTAGCTTTGGAGTCACAGGACTTGGGTTCTAATCCTGCCACTAAATGCTTACTTACTACCTTCCGTGGTCCTCAGTTTCCCCCTATAAATTGAGGGGATTGGAGTAGATGGCCCCTTTCCACCTCTAGATCTGGGATCCTATGATCCTAAGCCCTATTTGCATACTGCTTGGCTGGGTGCTGTTCACATATGGTTTATCTCAGAGAAGATAACAGGCCCACCCTATAAGGAGCATTCAGTCTTGAAGACAGACACTGGCTTAGACTGAGTGGGCAAGAATGCATTTTAAATAAGCTTCCACAGAGCAAAAAGGAAGATGTATTTTAACTCGGCCTAACGAGTTGGTGTTTTTGAGGGTTAGCCCTTCATTTATGTGGTGATGCTGAGGGCAGGGGCAGGAGGGCTATCGCAGTACAAGACTTTAAGAGGAGGGGAGACAAGCAGATCATTGACATTTGGCTAGGTAATATTGATAGCAAGGTTTTGGTTTTTTTTTTTAATTAAGTGAGAATGGGGAAAAATGAAAGAGGCCAGTAAGTTTTTAAAGTAAAACATTTTGCGGCTCTAAAGATGCTCATATTTAAAATGCTGAAAAAGCTTGGTGCCTAATGAGAGAATAATCGACTTACTCACTGGCTAATGCACAAGCCAGGTGCAAGAGGCTGAAAAGCAGGTGTTGGGTTATGAGCTGAGACTAAAGCCAGGGCTGATGATTTGAGTTCATTGATTTATATTCCTTCTAATTATTAGTTGCTGCCAGTGAGACCTGTGAGCTCCAGGGGGGCACAGGTTGGGTCTTATCTGGGATACTTTTCATTACCTCCAGTACTTGAACACAATAGGCACTTCACAAACATTTAGCTGAATGTTGTCCCGTCACCATTTCTTGATACCATTCAGGGTCTTAGTGGGAAGGACGGGGGGGGGGGAGGGAGCTCAGAGAAACCTTCTAGAACATCTACAAATGCCTGAGTGCTTGGCCTGGTCCCCAGTAGTGGACACTATCTCTCAGGGTCTTTTAACTTATTAATTGAATGATTTCTTTTCTTCCAGATCCTTTTATTCTTCCACACCAGCAAGTTGATAAAGGAGCCATAAGATATGTACTCAGTGGAGCAAACATTATGTGCCCAGGCTTGACCTCTCTGGGAGCCAAGCTTTGCCCTGCTGCATCTGACACTATTGTTGTATCCTTCTTGCAGAGTGATGGCCCCAAAGTCTCGTCAGTGTCCCTTCAAGTCCTGTTCAGATTTCTGTTCTTTGAGTTCTGTTCAGAACCATTGTCCATAGGAGTAGCAGCTGTACGGCTCTCTATGGTGATCTCTCACACTCTGAAGAAGTGGGGGCTATGTTTGATTTCTTAGGACTAAATTGTTTGAGTGACACCCCATTTCTCTTCTTCTTTTTAGTGGGGGAGGGATGCAGCGGGAGAGCGAGGCCTGTAATTTCACTAGTATGAGGAACTCCAGGTGAAGAAACACCCTCTCCAAGGGGCAGCTAGGTGGCGCAGTGGATAGAGCACCGGCCCTGAAGTCAGGAGGACCTGAGTTCAAATCCATCCTCAGACCAAAAACTTGTCACTTACTAGCTGTGTGACTCTGAGCAAGTCACTTAACCCCAATTGCCTTTAAAAAAAAAAAAAGAAAAGGAAAAGAAAAAATAAATACCCTCTCCCAATGGAGATCCCCAGTTACTGCTCTGCACCTTCAGGCTTATAGAACTTCTCAAAATCTAGCTCAAATATAGCTCTTAGCAGACTGCCTGGGGTGTGGAAGGATTCCTTAGACTTCTCTTGAATTATACTTATTTTGTTAAGTTACTCCTTTGGATAAGTGATTGGGTCATTTCCTCAGCAACTCCTCCGAACTACACAAAGCTACAAGTGATTTTCCAGAGTCAAGCTGGGACTTGAACCCAGGTTGTCCTGACTCTAAGCCCAGATGTCCACTGTACCTTTGGGGATCAATTTCAGTCATATCCGACTCTTCATGACCCCGTTTGGGGTTTTCTTGGCAGAGATACAGGAGTGGTTTGCCATTTCCTTCTCCAGCTCATTTTACAGGGGAGGAACTGAGGCAAACAGGGTGAAGTGACTTGCCCAGGGTCACATAGCTAGAAAGTGTCTGAGGCCAGATTTGAACTCATGGACATGAATCTTCCTGACTCCAGGCCTGGTGCTTTATTCACTGCAATGCCACCTGGCTGCCCACACATTTGGGGATAGTAGGCTTATTTCTATGATTGTATTACCTGGTTGCACTGGAATTAACTAACCTTCTTCTTACTGCCAGCACAGTGCTCTGCACATAGTAGGCACATCTAAAAAAAAGTTTGTTGAAATGAAATTATGAAACCAAGCATAGCATTTCTTTCACTAAAGCAATAATCTTGAGTTAGATGAAGTGAGACTTAACTACATTGTTCACCTTATGAATTTGTATATTTCAAAAGTTCACTGTTTAGTTGGCTGTTTGGAACTTAGGATATTTTCTTCCCTAGAAACTGTTATAAATGGTAATTGGCTTCCCAGACTAATGCACAAGGGTCCATTGAACCAAGAATATAGCTTAAATCCTTCACTAAAGGCCTTTTCTGATGCCTTGTCATGGTGTGCAGGTGACTCGGGTTAGGGCAGTGGTGCATAAGCTCTCTATGGGCTTTCACCATCCTTGAAAAGCTTTGGATCTGGGTCTGGTGGCCTCACTCTTCTCCCATCAGTCTTGACCCCCATTATCAGCCACTTCATCCATATACCATCCGTGATCATGACCATCTATGGCTCCTTTGCCCTTTTATCCTCTTCCTGCTTGCTCTTTTCCAGACCCCTGCCTGGTTTACCCCACCATCTGCTCTTTCAGCTCCTGTTCTCAGGCTGCTGCAAAAAGTCACACAGCCATGCTGACTGGTTCACTACCCATTTGTTATCTAATCTCAACTGGGCCTTTATTATGGCATTGGCATCTTTTTATTCCACTCTGATTCTATATCACACTCTGAAGTGGCTGTTTCTCGGGCGTTCTCCTCTGGCCCTTATTGTCTGCCTGCTTGGTCACATCTCATTAAACTATCTGTGAAGGTTTGAGGGGTTTGATCTGTCTGGAAGGGTTGGTACCTACATCAAGAAAATCACACATCCTTGCAGTTTTGAAGTGGTTGAGATATGATAGCATAGCACTATTTAAGCTATATTAAAGGCTTTGGTGTACTCTGCTGGGAACCTGGTCACTGTTTATAACATTTCTATGAGAAAAAAGAATTCATAGTTCTAGCTAATACACTTCATGTGAGCCCTTGATTGCAGGTTAGGAAGGAAATTCTCCCCATCCCCTTAAAACACTTTTGGCTGCCTGGGAGAAGGGAATTTCTATACTAGGGGAAGGTGAGGGGATCCTCAGTTATGGTTACTATTTGTCTATAAATTGTAAATTGAGTGATTATTCTTCTGAGACTGATCATATTAAGGTCTGCTGAAAAACATTCTGAGAAAAGGCATAATAATTCCTTATTACCTTGGTTGTGCCATAGTTTGTCATTTCTTTTCAGTATGTGTTGGCAGGTTTACATAATAAGCTAAATCCTTTAAATTTCATAATAATTTGTGATCTTATTTTTAAAAATTTCAGAACTTCATAGTATTTAGCATTTTGCTAACTTTAACCTTCAAATGGTACTGGAGGAAGCAAGGTAAAATGGGAATAACACTGGATTTGACTTGTAAGATCAGGTTTTTGAGACTTCAGCTTACTAGCTGGTAGTGTGACCTTGGGTTGGGTCTCAGTTTCCCTGTCTTTAAAATGAGGGTGTCAGGTTAGATGTTCTCCAAGGTCCCTTCCAGAGCTTGTCTCTTGTGATTCTTAGAGCATTCTGGGAATTCTACAAAGGGCGGAACAGATACGCTAAACTTTTTTTTTCCTTTTAAGCCAAGTTTTTATTGATATCTTTTGTTTTTTTACATCACCATAGTTTCCCCAGGTATCTGTCCTCCCAGTCCCAGAGAGCCATCCCATATAACAAATAGTATCTTTTTAAAGACAAAAAAATCAGCATAATAGTTGATCAATATATCGAAAAAGTCTGAAAATATGTGCAGTCTACAACACTAGCCTCTTAAAGGAAGGAGAAGATACTATTGTGAGGATATTGAAATGTAAAACTCACCCATTTTTTAGTGATTATAGTAATTGAACATTTGTCTTTTCAGTATTGTGGTTTTTATTTTTTTGCACAAGAAATTCCTCGGCTCACTGCTTTCTGAATGTGGTGCCTGTAGTGGGTAGTGAATATTATTTCTGCTAACAATCGATTGGAGAGTGGAGAGAATGTTTTGAAGGTGACTTAACTAGTAATATGAACATCTGATGGCCTCAATTTAAGGACTTGTTTTTCTATGGATCTTTTCCTGGGTTTTCAACCCCAGAACTGGATTTCTCTTAACCATATTTTCAGGCAGTAATGGCAGAGGGAAAACAGCATGCACTTTCTGTTGGGGTCATGAAGATGTCTGCTGAAGATATGTAAGTCTCCCTCAAACACCACAGATCCAAAAGCCTCTTAATGATACAGGAAGCTCATTAGCTTATATGGATTTGTGCCCCATAGATAAGCATAGACTCCTTATTTCTGAATGGTGTTAGCTCATTGAAAGCTGTTGACACTTACCAATATGTCATTGGTTTTCTGGTAGGCTTAAAAATAGCCATGTTTCCCAAATTGGAATAGTTAATAAGATTTAAATTGGGAAAAAGTCAGATTTTCCTGCTAATTTTGGATAGTGACCTTACTCCTGACTTCACAGTATTTATTATAGCTGGGCAATAGTATCTTTTTTACTTTCTGAATTGGGGAGTAAAGGGAAGGTAGAGAATGAGCAATATCCTGTAAGTATAATCACTCCTTTTCACAGCTTTGTCACCCATTTGATGAAGAATTATTCTTATTAGTTTTTTGTAAGCTTAATGTAGCTCTTTTTTATATTCTCCTAGTGTGGAGGCTGCCATGATCCAGCTTTTCCAAAGCCACCAGCTCTTGATTCTTTATGTTTTTCACTTTGCCATATGAACTACTGAGGGCTGTAAACAGAGAGTTTAATATAGCTAATAACATAAGTACAATGTAAATGCCTTACACAGCACTCTATAATTGCCCAGTAGGTATGCTACTGATCCTTAAGCTTTACAGTGATCACTGGGAAGTATATAAAGCAGCATAAATATACATTCATGCTCACTTGCTTTTGTCCTTCCACAGCGTGAGAGTCAACAAAGGAACTGGTATTGAAAATATCCATTATTTAAATGACGGCCTTTGGCACATGAAGTCTTATGTGTGAGCTTCCAAAGAAAAGCACTTCGCCTCAACTTGGACTGTTTTGTCATTCTGTTTTTATCTGTTAATGAATTAAAAAACTTTTGTTATGTGTTTAACAAATTAGATGCTCAAATCCTGTGAGCATTTTTCATTTTTCATGTGTTCTTTTCATCTAAACCCAAGTTATTACTGGTTAAGTGTTTAATTTTCACCATCAAACTTCCATATCAAACTGCCCTCATTTCTTTCTCAGACCTTAGTTCTGCATTGCCAGCTAGCTGCCTGTCAGGCATCCTCGCCTGAGGTCTGCTAAATATCTCAAACTCACCATGAAACTCATTCTATGTCCTCCCAAACCTATCCTCCTCCTAACTTGGCCATTTCCGAAATTCCTAATTTCCTGACACTTTCCCAAAGTGTTGAGGGCACTTCCATCCTTCCAGTCACTCACATTCACAACCTTCCATGACTCATTCCTCTCCTTTACACCCTCTGTCCGACCACCAGCTGCTTCCACACCTCTCCTCTCTATTCAAACAGCGCCATCCTAGTTCAGGCCCTCATCAGCTTGCCTATATCTAATAGAGCTATAATCATATATAATAGCTGTATCTATAATACTATATAATATCTATAATATATCTATATCAACATACATCTATACCTACAATATATCTGTATCAACTAGATTCCTATTTGATCTTCCTTCCATTCTCTCCCCTTCTCAATCCTTCCTCCAAACAGCTGCCAATTGACATTGCTAAAACAGGTCTTACCATGTTAATTCCTTACTCAAAAATTTTCAGTGGCTCACTTTTGTCCTAAGGAGAAAATATAAAATCATCAGTCTGGCATTTAAAGCTCTTCACAGTCTGACTCACACTTGCCTTTTCAGTCTTACTTGGTGTTATTTGCCTTCATGGGCCCTCCCTTTCAGGAAAACTGGCCTACTAGCTGATTCCTGAACCTTGTTTCATATCCATTTCCATGCTTTTGCATAGGCTGTCCCTCATGTCTGGAAACATACCCTCCTTGCCCTTGCCTCTTAGCTTTTTTCAAAGCAGGATTCAGTAACCACCTTAGGAGGCCTTTCCTGATCCCCTTCCCCTCCAAATTGTTAGTGCTTTCTATCTCTTGGAATTACTTGGCACTGCTTTGTATTATATGTGGACTTGCCTGTACTCCCCTTCTCACCTCCTCTCCTCTCCCCATGCTCCTTGAGGGAGGAATGGTTTCATTTTTATCTTTGTACCCTCAGTGTCTGACAGACACATCATGAATTGAATTGAATTTTCTCCTCACCTCAGTAGAGTGTAAGGTTTGGGAGTTAATGTTCACCTGTATATTAGGGGGTAAGAAGGGCAATTCCAGAATTAATGACGCCCCCCCCGCTTGATTTGTCTATCTTCATAGAGCTATCCTGGTATTTGATGTTGGTGGAAAGAGTACTGGACTTGGAATTAGGAGAGACTTGGGTTTGAATCTCAATTAAACATGTTTGTTTTATTTTGGGCTTTAAAAACTTCCAAATTTAACAAACACCAAATAAAAGGTGTATTTCCATGTACACGGTAAAAGAAAAAGAATTGCATGTGAACCTGCAAATGTCTTATGTACAGCATGCTTTTCCTTTTAAGTATATAATAAAATCCAGATTCGTGTAACTTTCAAAGTTGTCCCGCTTATCTGTAATTCCTTCTGACTTGCCTTCTATGAATAAAAAAAAAATGCTCCAATGGCTTTTTTTAACTGTGTTACCACTATCACTATTTCCCTTCAAAACCTTGTAACAAATGTGCATAATCAAACAAAACAATTTGTCATACTGTCCATGTCTGAAAATGTCTTACTCTGTACTGTAAGCTGTCAGGAGGTAGGTACAACAAACATTAAGTGTCTACTGTGTGCCAGGCACTGGAGAGACAGAAAAAAAAATGAATTAGTCTCTAAAGGAGTTTCCATTCTATCAGAAGAGACCAATACATAATAAGTAACCTTGCCAGGAAAGGCCTTATGTGTTCTTGCCCCAGGGGGACAGGTACCGCAAAGGCCCCTAGGTATGAGATGGAGTGTAATGTGAGGAAGGGCAAAAAGGCCGGTTCCCAAATCCAATCCTAACTGTGTGACCATGGGCAAGTAAGTGGCGACCTCTTTCTACTTGTTTCCTGTCTGTAAGATGAGACTAAATTGTAGTAGCACTTACCTCATATATGCCAGTCAAATGAGATGTCAAATACTTTGCAAACCACAGCATACTGTTTTATTCTTCCTAAGAGCATTAGGGTATTCATTAGAGCATGCCACATACATTCATCGTTTTTGAGACAGACACAGAAATGTCCTTGATAATTTTATAGGATACCGATTCTGTGATTCCAAATATGGTCTACTTCTAAAATTTGTTTAGATTTCCCCCCTTTTTTTAAAAAATAAGATTTTGCTTTCCTATCAGATTGTTGGTGTTTGTCCTTTGATATCGAAGAGGACCATGACATCTGAGAGGTGATGACATGACATGCGAGTGAAATGGATTGAAGTGAATGAGGGCTTGGGCTGCTTTAGGAACTAGTGAGTTCTATCTCCCTGGAGGAAGCAGAGACCCCCTTGTTGGCCTCCCCTCAGGCACCCTGTGTAGGACGTCAGGAACTTGAGGGCAGGGGCCACTTTTCATTTAGCCTTTGTCTCCCTAGCACCAAATACAGTGTCTGGCACATAATATGTTTTAAGAAATGCTTGTTGGGTTTTATTGAATGTTGCTTCCCTATCACTTCTGCCTGAAACACATGCACTTTCTGTATACAATACTGCTATTTTAACAATTTGACTGGTTCTATGGATTGTGTGGGCTCATTGTCCTGAAAGGTTTTGTAGACACTGTTGCAGCAATCAAGCCCGGATGTGGAGTTTTCATCACTTGCTCAATAGAGTGCACAAATGAATCCTTGCTCAATGCAAAGTTCCACCTACAGTCAAACATCTGGACCAGTGGAGGGGGAGGGCAGTGAATAACTTTCTGCCTTGTGGGCTGCTGACATCTTTCTGGAGACTCAACCTCTCAAATGTTAAGAAAATTGGGGACAGAATTCTGTTTTTCCAGATTTGCATGTGTGTGCCTTTTAGTTTTCAGTTTAATTTACAAACTTATTCAAATATTGTAGAAATAGTTTCAACTCAATGATTCAGTGGCAGTCCCTAACCCGCCCAAGGTGATAATGCTAGAGATGTCTGGGAAGCTTTCTTTTTGATTTGTCTTGTGAATAGGCAGTATGGCAAAGTGGATAGAGTGTTGGCCGTGGAGACATGGGATGAAGTAATACCTCTGACGGATATTGGCTGTGTGGCCCTGGGCAAATCACTTGACCCCTCAGGCAACTCTAAGATTATAAATTACATTGGTAGAGGGAGTCTGCTCACCTGTGAGTTCCCTATATCAATGAAATCACTGGTCTATCCTCTATCTTTTGCCCAAATTGCTTTCCAAAGCCCATGAGCAGGGATTGTTTTGTATTTGGACTGCTTTATTTCAAACCTGTCTTTATTAAGGAAATGAGAAGAGATAGACTCAAATCTTGAAAGCTATTGGTCCTAAGATTTGGGTTAAATTCAAAACGTGTCTGTGAAAGGTCTGAAAGAGCTGTTAAAGCAATTCTGCTCTCTTGCCATCTCATTAGCTGTTGAATACTGAAACCCAAATGTTTCCGAAGTAACCAAAAACCAGATGCTGGTCAATAAGACGTTTGAGTCTCCAGGTGTCCCAATTCAACAGCAGTTTCTCCCAGAAATGCAAAGGGTAATATGATTACCTGAGACACATCTTGACTCAAGTCTGGCCTGATGTAAACCACATCAACTTGAGCCATTTAAGCCCCACTGGCGACATCTGGTTTGCTGTGAAAAGAGGAATGTGTTCTCTCTAAGCTTGGGGTTTAACAATCAATCTATATTCATTTTATTAAATGAAACTCAATGTTTGAAAAATAAGCCCTTCTGTTCTTGCCTAGATTAACTGGGGACATTTTATCTTTACCAAATCATTGCACAGCAAAGACTTCTTCAGCTTTAAAACTATGAAGCATGAAAGGGCTCACCTGGGAGTTCAAACATTTAGCTTCAACTGCTATTCCCATCAATATTGCTTTTTGTTCCTTTTATTGATGGCTTCTTTTCACATGCCCTTCATTTCTGAATGTATCCCCCTCCCTCTCCTGACTAGAGACACTTCCCTTGTAACAAAGATTAAAAAAGATAAAAACGAGATCAGTTAGACCAATACGTCGACCATGCTTGATGTATATGCAAAGTCCCACACCAAGAGTCTCCAAGCTTCTGCCAAGAAAAGGGGGAATGGCATTTTCTATCTTTTTTTTTTTTGAGGGAGGAATTGCCTCTACAGCAGGGGTTCTTAACCTGGGGTCCAGGAGCTTTTAAAAAAATATATATATATATTTGAATAACTTTCAACATAATTGATTTCCTTTGCAAAGGAAATCCCTCCTGTGTATTTTATGCATTTAAAAAAACATTAATTTCAGAAGAAGCCCTTCCCTGAGATTCTCCAAATTGCCAAAGGGGTCCATGACAAAAAAAAAAGGTTGAGTCCCTGCCCTAGAAGGTTTACTTAAAAAAAAAAAATCCAAAACTTTTTTTTTATTGTGAACTTAACAAGTCTGAGCATATGCAAGGAACTAAAGAGTGAACTGTATATAAAACTGCAAACTTATAAACAGGTTTTTTTAAAAAGTGCATATTAAATTTAGCATGATAGCAATAATACAGCCCTTTCTGAACTTTTCTGTTTCCTTATTTGTATTTTAATGTTATATTGAGGCTTTTCTTTTTCTTTCATCTTTATCTCTATAAACGACCCCCATGAAAGCTCTCTCTTTTAATACAGAAGTATAGTTTTAAAAAAAGCAAAAAACAAACCAATACATCTACACATGGGCCATGTCTTAAAATATATGTCTTAATGTATATCTAATTCTGAACCAGAAGTAAATTTTCTCAACTTTTTTCCAGGACCAACCAAGTTTATTATAATTACAGTGTTCAGCTTTTTTTTATTGTCCTTTCCATTTCCATTGTTGTCATTGTATACATTGTTTTCATGGTTTTTATTTCATTTTAAATCAGTTCATATTCTTCCCATACTTCTCTTCATCAACATCACTTTCTATAGTGTGGTATAAACAGTTTGTTTAGCTATTCCCCAATCAATGAGCTCTTACTCTATTTCCACTTCCTTGCTACCATTAAAAAAAAAAGAGAATAATTTGGTACATGGGATCTTTGGGGTTAAAGGGTGTGAACATTTTAGTTACTTGGTATAATTTCCAGCTTCCGGAATAGTTGGCATCAGTGTCCCTATCTTCCTGTAGCCCCTCCCATATTGACTATTTCCACTTTTTATTATCTTTGCCAATTTGCTGGGTGTGAGATCAAGATTCAGAGTAGTTTTAATATGCATTTTTCTTACTAGTGATTTGGAGCATTTTTTCATATGGTTGTAGTTTGCAATTCTTTTGAGAACCATTCATTCACATTCTTTGATTGTCAACTGGAGAATGGCTCTGGGTCATATATTTGTGTTCATTTCCTATGAATCTTGGATATCAGACTCTTATCAGAGCTATTTGATGGGGAGATTTTTTTCTTCAATTGAGTTTTTCTGTTATTATCCTAGCTGCAAAAGCCTTTCAATTTTATGTGCTCAAAATTATTTATTTGATCTTTCATTATCTCTATCTCTTGTTTGGTTGAGAAGACCCTTTACCAAAGTTATGAAAGATAACTCCATCTATTTCCTCTAGTATATTTTTAAGTGACCTTTTGTTTGTCAAATATTCATTTGGAACTTGTTGTCCTATCAATATTCTTATTTGACATTTCATCACGGAGAAATCTGATACCACAGGATTAGTAGGTGTTTGGCAGAAGGTGCTTTTCAAAAAGGTGTTTGTACCTTGGGTTTATTATAGGTAGCAAGGTTTCTATAACGGCAGCAAATTTTCTTTTTTAATAATTCATTAAATGTTAACCCTTTGCTTATGCTGTTTCAGGTTTTGACCTGGGGAAGACAATCTGGAAGTCTGGGCAACCCTCTGATCCCAAGGGGGAATCTAAGGCAAGGGGGATTGGAAGAAACAACATTTATCCAGATAATACTACATAAACCCAAAATGTTATTGGGTGGTACAGTACTAACAATTGTGATTATCAGGAAGGGGCAACAGATAACTGGAGAACTGAGAAAGGAATAGAGTGTCTGAGGGACAGAAATGTGAAATGTACATAAAGGTAAGTTACTGGTATATTACGAAGTGTTTTAAATGCCAAACATGTTGGTTTGTATTGTAAGGCATTAGCGTAGCCACTGCAACTTCTTCAGCAGAAGAGCAGTATGATCATACCTGTGCTTCAAAAAGATCCATCTGACAGCTGTGGGTGCAAAAGAAATCAAGAGGGGAGATACTGAAGGTAGGGAGGCCATGTAGGAGGTTATTTCAATAATCCAGGTGAGAGGTATTGTTTGGATAGTACTTTACTTGCTCTAAAGGACACAGGACTTTCCTCCTTTTTTTGGCCAAATGGTCAGGTGGTATCAGCAGGATCTTTGCAAATCTCATAGTAAGTGATATCATTTATTAGAGAGGTTGTTGAGGTCCAACCTTT